CCTACATTCACATCATGGACTGTGTTACCATAACTGCCAAGGTATTTAAAAGTCATCCACTTGCTCAATAGTAGAGCCATCACTAGACAGCAAGGCCTGGGGCCTTGTTGGAGGGTTAAGGTGCATAAATTTAGTCTTAAGTGCATTTAAATAAAGTCCAATATCCTGTGTGGCATGCTCTACCCTGTACAGAAACTCTTGAGCAGCTTTGATAGTGTCTTCTAGAAGACAAATATCGTCAGCAAAGTCAAGGTCAGGTAGCACCACTGCTGGGTGACGCGAGCTCTGTCTTCTCTTTAAAGTAATGCCGTCATGGCCATGCTTCAGTTCAGTTTTCAATGAGGTAACTTAACACAGAGCTGATAACCTTGCAAAACAGTGTTTCCTACAAGCAGGCACTCATAAATGTAAAAACAGAAATCTTTTTCTTTATTTTGAAGTCAGAAAAAAATGAAGAGGTAAGTCCGAGAACCAACAAATTAAATTGGTGTGGCCTTATATCCACTCGGAATACTAGCCTCTGTGGCAGGCCTCTGTGGGTTTTTGTGTGTGTTTGGGGCTTCAGGGGCTTAAAGTTTTAGCCCTGGACTTCAAGTTTAACTTAGTGGATGTCAAAAAGGCTGACAATCACAAAACAACATAGACCCCCCCCCCTTGGGGACAAATTTTGAACATGGACAGAATTCAAGGCAGGTAGTTTTAGAAAAATACCCACGTCAAGATCAGTAAGGTGTCAAGCAAAACGGTTGAAAATCGTAAGTTGCCGGAAAACATTGAAAAGTTCCCATGTCTACAGAGCGGCAAAGTTTGTCTAACCATCCAAACTGACATATGCCTCAGAGCTCACCAGAACAGTTCTTGGACCCTTGATTCTGGGATCAAAACCCCAACATGTACAGGACTTGATCCATATGGCAAAGCAGTTGGATTGCGCCATTCCTTGTGAAACACTCCAAGTTTTGGAGTGGCTGTACATGTAAGCTAGAGGTCCCAATGGGAGATCATGCACCAGTATCATTGATATATTGAGGTCAGGGTCTGAGTGAGGTCTTTGTTCTTCAAAGGACAGCTCCTTTAGGCTCTCCCTGAAAGCTGAAGAACCAGCTTTTGTTCTCAGGTTGTTTTGTGGAGAAACTGAAATTCAAATCAACATTTTAATGCATTTCTATTCAATCACTTTGTAACAAGATTTTCCGACAGTCCTTGAATCACCGCTAGTTACATCACAATTTTCTAGCCTTACATGTACATCCTAACATCTACTCGGAGAATTAGACACTTGGATACAAGACATACATTGTATCAGCCAGTGAGAAAAGATCACTATTTTCTAGCCTAACATCTGCTTGGAGAATGCAGACACTGACATAGGGCAAGGGAATGATCAGCACCAGCCTAGATGCCAGACTGCAGTGCAATACAATACTCCCTTCAGCTGAGGCCAACAAATTCCATTCTAGGTTCTCTTCTTCACAAGTTCCGAAGAGAACCCCACTTTCTGTCTATGCACAGATAACACAACAAGGTATAGGGTAGTGTGCACCGACACTGAAATGCTGCCACACAAGCTAGGTGTGGAAACACGAATGATCGGGGGAAGGGAGACGGGATGGGGGAATGGGATTAATTAGAGGGGGAGTGGCTACAGTACCATTTGTGCGCCGACAGAAAGTGGAAATTCTCCAAGTTTACAGACAAAAAGAAAACTACTCTTCTCTTACATCTCCTCTAACACTGTTGCAATTTCAATAAACATCACAAAACCCACACATTATAGGAAAAGTGGGATCATTCATCTTCCACTGTCTCGGAAAAAAGTAGTACTAGCAAAGGGCCACACATGGAATATTATATGTAAGGTACATGTATATCAATGAGGTTAGAGGGAGAGTTTGTTCTTTTCTAAAAAAATTTGAACTGAAACCTAAGGCTACAGTGTGGATGTGTAAGAAACAGGAGTAGCCAGTAAAAACAGATAAAAACCCACTGGTCCCGGGCCGGGGTTCGAACCCACGGCTCCCGCAGACACTCTAACCACTCGGCCGAAAAGGTCTAGACCCATTGGCCGGGTGAGTTGGTAGCACCTATAAACCCCCACTGTTACAGCCTGACCAGACTGTAAGGTTTGAACCCCAAACTGGGAAGGGCCGTCAGCCTGGTCTTTTGAGTAAAGTGGGGTGGGATCTTACACATGCTTGAGGTGTGTCTCTCCTCAAACATGGGCTCTCCACATATCTGAGAAGACATCGGATTCCCTAGCTGAAGTTAGGTACTCATTTTCACCTCAGTTGAGTATATTATTAGGAAATGGGTGCAGAGTGTCTTTCCCAAGGGCACGAAACTGAGACCTGCCAACCCTTAAACCACATGAATTGGCACAAAACAATCTCTGAAATATTGCTTAGAAGCTTTAAATGTATGATATTTCAGTGTATCGAGGGTAAAAAAGTATCGAGGGGTGAGAATAAATCCTGTCTTAAATCCTGATTGTGCTGAATACATGTAACGTTAGTGATAACTTTCAACTTTACAACAACAAAGATTTAGGTACATGTAACACTTATTGTCCTCATTAAATCCTTATTGTCCAAGCCCTACATGTATGTCGGACTATTCTCTTTTAGTTTTTGTTATTCAAGTTACACTGTAAGAAACAGGAGGAGACAGTTAAAACCTCACTGGTCCCGGGCCGGGGTTCGAACCCACAACCTCCCGGGCCCCAGTCAGACACTCTAACCGCTCGGCCGAAAAGGTCTAGACCCGTTTGCCGGATCAATTGGTAGCGCCTATAAACCCCCACTGTTACAACATACTTGATTAAGATGTGCAAATAAACAAAATAAATCAACATCAAAGTGAGAACTATTCTTCCATGGGACAGGCTGAGAAGCCTCTGTGTCTCCTATAGCTATGTATCCAGGGTACCCAAACCACTTCACTGTAGAACTGCTGCTCTCCAGGGCCCATATCAATTACTGCCACTGTGCCAGCCTGTCATGCCAGGAAAGGGCAGAACAGCTGCCTCTATCTGGGTCATTGTTTCTCTAGTCTGTGATTGCATCCCTTGACAAATGTTGCCTGTTGGACACCTTTCCTATACTAGAATGAGAACAGAGATCAATCCTTTTTGCCTTTCAGGCCATTCATAAACTTTTTAGTGCACTTACATGTAAGCTAGTCTTTGTCCAGTTTTTGTAATGAATCTTTTAAAAGATTTTTTCAGTAGCACAAATTAGAATCATTCCCTTACAGCTCAGCAAAAAGTTCATTTTCGTAAGCAATATTACCAAGGAAATGTCAATTCAAGGCAAAGGACTACAATGTATGTGCATGACTTCCCAACAACTTGCGCTCATCCTGAAACAATATGTACCCCAGCAGTCAACTGACAGGCATATAATGGTTAATCCCTTAGTCCAAGCCTAATAGACTTGGTGTCCCACTGGGGAAAATGGACACATGTGGCCTCAGACTTGGAATAAAAAGTCTTGCAGCTTGTCGCACTGTATGAATGTTTCAATTTAGGCTTTGTGTTTACTAAGTTATTTCATTCTAAGTGCATTTTTTGTTCGCACGCATGTGCGTGTGTATGTGTGTCGACCGTGTATATATGCATGTGTGTGTGTGTGTGTGTGTGTGTGTGTGTGTGTGTGTGTGTGAATAAAGATTCCTTGCCAGCAATAGACACTTGTCGTTTCTTTGTAGCAATTGTCTAATAGTAGGCTCTTTACTATGTACATGTAAACATCTTACCCCATACAATCATAAGCCTTTCTTTACAAATTACATGGTGGATATGATAGCCAACGCCATCCACCAGCCATTTGGACACAGCGTGTTCATTTTGTTTCTGTGACCCCTATGTGACATCAAGGCCACTGAGATGGCTGGGAAGGGGAAACCCACCAGGTCACGGAAACTCTGCGATACTATTAAACTGTGTAACTATGAAAACTATGTACAAAAAGGACTGCAGTTAGCGCAAAGTCCTAAACGACTGCCTGGCCTGGTATGACTCCAGATATATAGACAAAAAGAATAGAATATAATGGGGCAAGCACTCTAGCTGGATAGATTAGATGAATTAGGATTACGGAAACATTCAACTCTGTTGTCTATGCTGTGCATTTGTTTAATCAAGACAAAAAGTACATGTGCATCATTATGGCTGATTTGTATGGTGAATTCCACTGTAATTTGGCATTACTGGCTGTGCCCCATTTATTTCTCCTCCAGCCAGAATAATCTCCCCAAGGGAACAGTGGTGTAGGGGAAACATGCCCTCATCAGGACCAGAGACAACCAGAATTTGTACATTGTACATGTATGTCTGTGATAGGAAAACATCTGGTAGCTATAAACTGTAAACTCTGTTCAGGGGTAGCCACATGGGAGAAGCTATCAGGCACCAGAGTGTTTTGTGCTAACTACATGGGTGGAGCTGGAACTAATTCATGAGCAAGCCCAGTAGCAACTTTGGGTGCCCCTTGCTAGTATCAATATCAACCCTTGCTTGCTAAAGCTGTACCGGGGTCATTTTCAGTATTTTCTTTATTTTGCTGTAAGATTACTGTAAGAAAAATAACTTTAGATGAGGGTTGACATTGTAATTTTGAATTCATGCAATTCAGTCTGCTTACACATGTACCTTAAAGCAAATATGAATCAGATTTAACAGTTCACTAAGTCTTACAGTTGTTGAGCACCTCTGTCAAAAAGAAACTTTAACCTGCATCAAGCTCTCAATTCTTTATGGTCCATCAACTGAAGCACATCCATGAACTTCCATGAATTAGGGGTTCCTATTCAAGTAGAAGCCCGATGACCTATGGACTGTTCAACTTGACTTACAATGAAGAACAGTATGATCTAAATTTCAACAAAAAATGGCAGAGCACTGCTGTCACAAAAGTGTGGATCAGCTGCCACAAACTTTCATTGGAAACAGACGACAGAATTGCAGTCCCCTGGAAAAGCAATTTGATGATACTGTAATTTAGATAGAATGTAAGAAAGTCTTTGATTAACTTGAAAGTGCATCTGATGTCACTGGTAAAACAAGGAGCATCGTTGCACTTGCCAAGTGTGCCCTCAACGTGGAGGCCAAGCTGTTTTTTCTCGTTTCATCTTGAAGTTCGTAATGTACACCTAGCTGTAATGAGCATGCATGTATCTGTGATACACACAGCCAAGACAGTGGAAAACCTTACAGTCACAGATTTACCTGCTTTACACATGTATAGATGGTTTGTCAGCAACCAGGTACTAATGTCCACCAATAGTGTCGCGTTATGCGGCACCCCCCACTACCGCATTTTGCCATCACTGATTGACTGAAACTACCTCTGCCCTCTCCTCAAACAATTCTACTCTGCAGAATGATGCATTCTTCATCAACAAAGAAATCGTAACCCTTTTCTTTGGCCCATTGTAAAAGTTTTCCAGTACAAAAAACGCAAGCTGAGGTCAGGTAACACTATTCCATCATCAGCGGCCCTTCCCGTGCTGATTTCGACCAGTGTTAGCAATAAGAGGTTTGCCATCTTGGACCAGGAACGGTATATTCGTCAATCATGAACTTTTAACATCTTTAGTGAAGGTATGGCTATGAGGTCATGGAACTCTTTATAATGAGTTAACTATATTATAGGATGGTGATGAAGAACCTTACAAGCAGCTAACTTTGATGACAAATACATTGTATACTATTATGTAGGCTAGCTTTTTCACAATTCTGCCACATAGAATTCTGCAGATTTTTACAGAATTCTGCAGAATTCTGCAGAATTCTATGCGGAGGAATGGTAACAAAACTTAATACTTTCTGCTTCAATTTGAGAAAAGTGACCCTAAAGACCAAGATTTTGTCCTCCTTTTAATTCATGTTAACCCTGGGTATACATGTATTTGTAAGGTTCCATGAATGGAGATTGTGTAATCTTTCATAGCCAGCTCATGATCTGTAGCCAAACACTACATCAAGGATGTAGCTGTTCATTAAATTGATCTTTCTAAATAAAAAGTACTATTTTGTAAAAATGACTACTGGTAATGACAATTTTAAACCTGCATATGTAAGCTGCTTGGACAATTGTACAATCATACATATTTTGCAAACAAACAAACTTGCCCCACTGGTATATGCAATTTGCAGCTGATGAGCAATAAGTTGCTCTGTGCTCACCCATCACCTGGACCTACCAGGGACCTACAATGTACAGGCGACCTGGTAATGAGCTCAAGTCGCTGCACAGCAACTATCTGCCAACTCCTGAAAATCGTTCATGATCACTAAAAATTGTGCTCTGATGGAGAAAACATTGGACATATATTACTGAGTCAATGAAAATGTCATTTAGAGCTCGCAGACTCGTCATTTGGTTGATTTGTGCACAATGTGACAGGTATAAGGGAGCAAGGCTAAAGACCCCCCAGGATTTGCCACGCCTTTAACATTCAACAATAAGCTTTACTTCACCAAACTGAGGGAAAACCTGGTTTAAGTTCCCAGAATTCTGCAGAATTCTGCATCCAGTTCGCAGAATTCTGCAGGATTCTGCAGAATTCTGTACAGAATTCTGCATCCAGGTCGCAGAATTCTGCAGGATTCTGCAGAATTCTGCATCCAGGTCGCAGAATTCTGCAGAATTTGGCTAGTCCCCAGGGGTTCATCAATGATGGCTACGTATTCCTAACTTCATTTGTTCCTACCAGATGTGATATTTAGCCATTTGGGTTTAAAGTGAATGATATTTGGGAGGTTGTCCCAAATTAAACTGGAACTCCCAAATTAAACTGGAGGGTGTTATACTAATAATTCTTTTCTATACCCCTATTATCATCAGTGTACAGGTGCAGCAAAGAATAAAAGAATCTATGGTTTGAGTAATATACATCAAATCAGACCAAAATCCTGCCTCGGATAATAATACTGGCAAGAGTTGAAATCACAGACTCTCATAGCTAACTAAGTTACATCATCGGCAGTTGGTACTGATTTTCAGTTGGTACTTATTTTTTAGTTGATAGTGATTTTTAATTGATACAGTCAAAGCTGCCCTGGATCAATACCTTGTGTTTGTTGCCCAGTGTGTGTTGGGAATAAATCGGGCAGGCAGCAAACCTACGGTAACCCACATGGAATATCATCCTCTCCTGTGGGGAAATGGAAAAACAGAGATAAGATACAACATCCTGTAGTCTGGAGCAAGTTTAAACTGTAATTTCCAACAGAAATCATATCCTAAACATGTACATTCTACATTGCTAGAACAAGCCTTACCTTAGACTTGATTGGCTCTGTGTTCCCAGAGTGCCTCTTGACAAGGAAGTGCACCACTGACATCTGAAGGGAACAAGGTAGATTTTAAAATGAAAATTCTCCAGGTCAATCTAACAACTGTTCTATGATACAATACAATACAATCTTTATTGCGCAACAATAGTAATGGATACAATGTATGGCAAGTGTTTAAAACAAAAGATAACAACAATACTAAAATCTACTTCTAGATACCTTATTCTAACGCTACCCTATAATTGTGAGTGATGAATTATACAATATATATGGAACATGGATACAAATATCAGTTCAAGGGGTCACAGATGATATTGTTTCTTTTGATAGGACAAAACGTAACCAAAAAAAATCTAGAACCTCTAACATGACGTAGTAAATTCCCCACCTTCTGTTCATGTTGCAGTAGACCATATACAACAAGGGGGTGGGACGGCTTGTAGTTCTCTAATACAAAAAGAGGAGAAAGGAAGTTTGGTGGCTTTAAAACAAACCCTTTCACAATATGGTTATAAATTCAGGTAAATTCTAAGGGATGTGTATTATTACAAAATCCTTGTTCAACTTCCAATCATCCAAAATGTTTAATTCGGGACTGTATCTATGTTTGCACTCACCTATGAATGTCTTTGGCACATTTGCTACATGAATGGTGATGTACCAGCCAGGCTGAAATGGACAGAGGAAAATACAGGCATATAAATATAGTACAATGCGGTCACCGTGTATTCTGTGCACTTTTTGTTTGTATGTATGTATGTATGTATGTAAGTCCCATAACCTGGACGGTCGTTGGGGCACAAGGTATGTAAAGGTATGGAAACAGTTTTACATCTATAAACTTTAAAACATTTCAGTCATATATATTCACTAACTAACACATGTAACAGGGTTTTAAATTCCAATGGTTGGTAAGGTATCCCCTACCATTGCTGTATCTGTGTCATCTCTCTCCTCATTCATGACTCGTCTGGCTGTCCGCTTAAAGCTTTCAAACTGGAAAATCCTGGCGAAGTCCAGCGGTAGGTTCTCTTTGGGGTCCCAGGGGGACGTACGGAAACTCTTCAAGCCTCTGTACCTGGAATATAAGGAGACAGATTCTATATTAAGGCATCTGAAAGATTCTACACTTAGTTATAGCATACTACTACTACAAACAATGTAAACTTTGATTATTGAATAATTTTTACAAATAATTTTTAATTGATCCTGTTTATAACATATTTACTAATTAAATTGTAAACTGCTAATACTGACAGAAATGGAAAATCTATAAGCTATTATGAGTGCTATTTCTGCACTGGTAGATTTTTTCTGAATATAAATGACATTGGACATTGGAAAATTCTACAATGAGACATGTAATAATGTAAGAGACATAGAAAAAAAGTTGAAAAGAAATTAAATGAGGGAACACTAGAGTTAAGAGAAGCTCTTTTCAATAGTCATCTTTTACAGGTATAAATAGCTACAAGGTTCTCCTACACAAAGTCTAAAAGCTTACTTTTGAAACCTGATCCTTGCTAGGGCGTCGATGGGTGTGTCCACTTCATCAGGGAACATCTGGTCCTGTCTCTCATCCTTGTACTTCTGCAGCATGGTCTCCTCCTCCTCAGCATCAAACCCAGCATCGTACTTAGCATCTCTGTCTTCTCCAGCCAGGCTCATCTGGGAAGGCATTATGACAGTTGAGGTGTAAATGGGGATGTACAATGTACAACCTACATTTTGTATAGGGATAGAAATACTGGGTGCATGTGCACCTCCCGAATTTATTGTTCACCCAATTATTTTCTATTTTTGTATGTACTAATGTTGAGATGTTAATTGTATAGTATTATACAGCATATTCTTAATATCTAAGGGTAAAAAAAATAACAAAATCATTGTTATACATGTAGTACATTTATTTAGAAATGAAACTAGAAACATAATTAGTTTTTGCTGACATTCTACCTATATGGGGCACCAAATTTTGAGCCCTGATCTACCAGTCATCTGTTGCTAGCCACAGCATTTGTTCTTGTGTTTTGATGACATTTTTTTTACAAGTTGTTTGTTTGTTTGTTTGTTTGAGCCTTTTAGTTGCCATAGTTGTAACTGACAGCCATTTCCAGCTACTTATTTCCTCCCTCCCTCTATTTTCTTTCCTGCCTCCCTCCATCCCTTCCTCACCTCCTCATAGTCCTCAGTACCAGCGATACTCCCACCCTCCTCCTCCTCCTCATCCTCATCCTCCGCAGCTTCCATCATCGCATCTTCATCTGAATCTGAATCAGACTCCTCCTGGGTGGGAAAGATTCTGCATTAACATCAAATCTCCACTCTCTATTATCATCAGCGTACAGGTACATGCAGGGAAGAATAAAAGTATTTTTGTCGAAAATAGTTTCATCAGGTTGGTAAGGTATAGGATATAGGAGTTTTCTTTTACACAACCAAAATTTCTCACCTAAGTGCTTACGTTTCGATGTCTATCAGACACCTTCTTCAGAGCTTCTGTGCTATTGCGGTGAGAATGCAATCCCAATCCTACATATAGCGGCGAGAAGCAAAACTCTAGTCAGATTCCAAGCTCTGAGTCTGAAGAAGGTGTCTGATAGACATCGAAACGTAAGCACTTAGGTGAGAAATTTCAATTGTGTAAAAGAAAACTATATCCAAAAGAATTTATAGTTTGAGTTACCGTATATCACGTTACATTTGTACATCAAATCAGACCAAAAACCTGCCTCGGATAATGATACTGGCAAGAGTTGAAATCACAGACTCTCATAGCTAACTAAGTTACATCATCGGCAGTTGGTACTGTAACAGTTGGTACAGTTAAAACTAATTTTGAGTTGGTACTGATTTTGACTTGGTACTGATTTTCAATTGTTACAGGTTTTCAGTTGGTACTGATTTTTACACTCCATTGAAAATGGTGTGTTTTGTTTTCAGTCTGGATGATGTTTTGGTGTATATCTCAAGATCTGTCAAACAGGATGCAATGATATTTGGCAGTTGGGTAGGTGGGGTATAGAGGATTGTTAGTTGACTTTGGGACCCCGGTGATTGAACTTGGTACTGCAGTAAGAATTTTTTTTAATATTGTTGGCGCTGGATAGTTTGTGGATGTGATATTTGGGTAGCATATAGTTGTTGATGTAAGGGTTTAGTTCTTGTACCTAGAGGGATATCCTTCATTTACAAACACAGTGTTTGGGTTTATCAATTACTTTCTGAAAAGACGGTCGCTAGAGTTGAGGGTGTGCAGAATCGAATCGTGACCCCAAAAAAATGGTGTGTGCCCCCCTAACAGTTGTTTCAATCAAGCGACTTGCTAGAAATGTACGTCACATGGAAGAAGGCTCAGGAACTGAAAGTAAAACCACAGTATTGACACTCAAACAACCGTCATTAGGTCATAAGGTCACTGGGCCATACCATTCTTGTGTGTGAAGGTAAGAGCATTATGTAGTGTTGCACTGAAAAATACAAATTCTCTCTGCTTTAATCTAAAATAAGGAAGAATATGTAACGATAACTTACTAGTAGTGAAAATCTTTTTCATCCATGTTAACTTACAAGCTTAACATAATGTGTAACACTGACTTAACTTACTTTTCCCCATTCAGACTGTTGTTTTGATATGCTAATGAGATTGTATTTCGTATTTGTAGTTTGGTGGGGGAATCCCCATGACTCAGAATCAGCCCTTGAACTCAAACACGCAGTGGTTTTTTGGGGTTGGAAACTGTTGATTGAAAGTTGGCTCTGTTATACAGACTTTGGAACTGTTCTGCTCTTGTTTATTCTGTGCATCACCTCCGCGGCTATACTTGTATCGGCGAATGCAAGCAAGGTAGGTAAACAAGAACCACTGACATAGAGTCTGAGTTACATGTAATTCCATGTGCACAGGTAGAGTATGTAACACAGTATCTTTGTGTCTGGGTAAAATATAGCTTAATGTTTAGATCAGATTTGGACTCTGGTAACGTTCTATTTCAAATCATTATGGTTCTTCTTTGCTTCATCCCTGTCACAGGCTATTTTTTTTACAATGCAGACCAGGTAAGGCAAATACTGTGCAGTTCTTACAATAAGTTGAACTTAAATCTTGCATATTTAGTTTGGATCATTTTAATACATGTCTGTATTCTCAGACTGCTCATCCTGACAAATTTTTGAAAAAAAATTTCACGACCTGTTGATTGTCTACATGAACTTTGATATACAGAAAAGAACATTACTTATTTCAATACAATTTGCTAACATACAGACTATTAACAATTATCTCTACATTCAATTAGCTGAAAACATTCTCAGATGGCCAAGTTTCAAATTTATTTATTTAACAAGGACATAACTTAGATCTACAGATCTGCTTTTTAGTTAGCCCAGGTGCAAAAGCCTTGGTCAATGAACAAAAAATATATCTATGATGAACACAAAATATGTCCAACTAATTGGATGATAAAACAGTCTGCAAAGAACAAAACTTTCTGCATACATTGTATTTTGTTGGTCTAGAAGTAAACATTCAGACATTTTGTGTTTGTTTTTCTTCCAGCAAAGTCAACATGTTTCACAAACTGTCTCTAGCTGAAACTATTAACATTACAGATGTTCAAGGGGATGGCAACCTGACTGTCAGTGCTGGTAGTGGCAGTACTGTTATCATCACCACATGTCTTTATCATGTACCAGGAGATGAGCACTCATGTACACACTGCAGAGCACTTGTTTTACCCAAACCTGTCGGCAAACCTAAACGCCTGGGCACCAAAACAGAGAAATCCTGCCACATGTACATTGACAACCTGGCCATGCTAACTGGAGGAGGAAAGATACTGAAATGTCGCAGCATCATTGCCAAGCTGATGAAGACAAAGACAGACCCAGACTCACAAGTGTCTCTCCGATACGCTGCAAGTCTCAATACTATTTACGAGGGAGACTTTAAGAAGGTAAGCCGCCTTCTCCGTGAAGTTCAGGCAATCCTTCCTGACACAGTTAATGAGACAGAGCACAGACTGTGGTGGGGGAATATTAAGTCACTAGCCAAGCTAAGAGAGGGGAAGGGCGATGCAGGGATAGTCTTCGCAAAAGAGGTACTACCCCTGCTAGATATGTTGGCACCTGGCTGTATAACGGCGTATCTGCTCATTAACCACGCCTTGCTCCTGACCGAGATCGCTGCAACACAAGATGACCGGGAAGACAGACAACATTTCATGAAGATGGCAGAGAAAGATTTCCACCACGCCATTGAGCACGCAGAATACGAGCACCCTAAGCAGATGCTCCACTCACAGTCACGAGTGCCTCGGTTCGCCAAAATAGGTCTGGCCTTCTTGTACCTTGGTTGTAAGGAATCAGCAGGCAATTTTAAGCTGGGAACCTCGGACGTTTCTTTGGATGACATCAAGAGGGCAAAGAATGTGATTGATGCACTCGACAGGGACGGAATGGTTTGTGATTCAGGACAATTCCAGTTTATGGTGGCTAAAACCTGTCTGCACTACAGGCTGGGTAGTTACCAACAGGCCTATGACCTGGCCCAGGAAGCCAAAGTCTTCGCTACAAAACATTCTTTTGGTGGTTTTGTTAAATTTGCTGACAGCATTGTGCAGTATCTGCAAGAGTATAATGTTTAACCCTTGTCCTGTGGGGCCCATGTATATATGGGTTGCACATACAGTACCATCTACGTATTTTGTATATACATATGTAGTGCCTTGTATGATTTGGGGGTGCTTCCTGATCTGTTACATGTAGGTCTGTACATTACTGAGCCTAGAAACATAATAAGACTCTAACCATCTATCTTCCTGCACTACAGAATTCTTATTATTGGGACACAGGTTTATAACTACAGTATATCAAACATATTCTAAGGGACAGTTACCTTTTATAAGTCATATTTCACTATTTGTTTATGCTGACACATTTTGATATTATTGATAAGCATTGTTAATACTATGCAATTTGAAGATTTGTTTTAAGTTAAGATTATGAGTACTGTATATCATTGGTGTTGGTATGAATTCTTTTTCTTGCTGTATGTGTGAAAATGTGCCAGGTGTTGACTTTTTTAAAAGATTTAATAAATATACTGGGTATACAAAAACCATTGCATGATCAAGCTTTTCTCCATTCTTCATTTCTTCACTACCAGTAATTCTTGTACAATTATATTGTTCGGCTGGATATTGAAAATTGAGATCTAACAGCTGTTTCAATCAAGCAGCTTGCTAAAAAAAAGTATGTCACATGAAGAAGGAAGTGAAACATCAGTATTGACATTCAAACAACCATCATCAGGTCATCAGGTCACTGGGCCATACCATTCTTGTGTGTTAGAGCATAAAGTAGTGTTGTACAGTATATAACTACAAATTCTCTCTGCTTTCCTCTAGTCTAATAAGGAAAAGTATATAAGATTAACATACTACCATGTAGTTGTGAAAATCTTTTTCATCTTTTGTCAACTTACAAGCTTAACATTGAAAAAGCAGTATGTACCGTTTAGTTACATTAATAGCCCAAACTAATGTCCAAACAGAGCGCCAAACAACAAATATGGCGACTCTTCTCGGAAAGGTTGCATATAACCCCTGACCTAGATTTGTTCCCGCTGTCGGGAGCTCTTTATACGCACTTTTAAGCTGTCGGAGACTCCCGCTGAGCTGTTGGGCGACTATTCCAGAGCTGTTGAAAAGATCAGACATTGCTTCATGCATGACCTTACCTCATTGTCTCCTTCCTCCTCACTGTCCACTATCCAGGCAGCCTGGTAGTCTGACGTTCCCTTGGGAACTTTCTTCACAGTCTTCACCTTCTCTTGAAAGGCAGCTGAAGGGTTCAAGCCAACAAGGTTCAGGGAAGTACATTTAGACAAGTGTGAGAACACCTACGTCAAAGCAAACCAGAAACCTGCCTCAGATAATGATACTGGCAAGAGTTGAAATCACAGACTCTCATAGCTAACTAAGTTACATCATGGGCAGGTGTAAAATCTTTCAAATTAAAACAGAACAAGAAGCCATAGGCGACAATTCTCCGTGAAATATTATATATTGCAACAAAAAGAAGTAGCCATTGGCGACAATTCTCTGTGAAGTGTGATAAATCGAACAGAGAAAAATTGTTTAAACGCGCGTCGGCTCTGTCATCTTAAGACGCAACAACCAATCAGAGATGCGAGATGCCGACACGTGACGCGGGATTTGCATACAGTCTTAACAACAGGGAAGGGCGCGCGATGCCCGAAATATTTTTGCGTCAATATTCAGCGCCGTGATTCAAGAGATTAATACCCGGAAACAATTTCTTTTCTTGTTTTGAACGCATTAACATGCATTAACGCTAATCTAGTATGATTCAGGGTTACTTTTTTTTAACCTGCCATGGCCAGATTATCTAAAGATGCGTGTATTGTGTGTACAATCTACAGAAAGAGAAATGTACATCAGGTCCGATCATCCGATTTTCACGTTTCGGTTTTTTGGACTCGGTTCATGAACGTCTTTTGGTTTGGCTCCTGGAATGTGCGAAAAAAATGACTCCCGGGACTGTCTACAGGGAACACTCGCACATTCGCGGTGTATCAGGACAGCGCGACTGGTCGGCATTAGCGCAGTCCCTGCAATTAGTAACAGTTGCATAAACGGACGAAAACATTTCAAAGAAATGGGGATGTTTCAAAAATAAGCATTTACTCCAATATCAAAACAGCTACGGTAAAAAAAAAAAGACGTGCATCATCTCGGACATAATGCCACACCACATGCGAAATTACACAGAAATGCGACGTACGGAAGAATGCATTTTGGCTGCGAACATCTTCCAAAAAACTTGCCATCTCTTAACCATGGGCAAAAACATCTGGAACCACTTATCAAAACCACCCCGTATCTGCATGAAGTTCCACCCCCCCACTGCTATTCCAAACAACGCGTTTTTCTCGACCATTCCAATTCGCCTCGTAATTGTAGGGGTGCGTCTGCAATATTACATTGACCGCGAAAGCAGCAACGGCAAAAATACACATTCGTGCATCAACACGGGAATGCCCGCAGACGGCGTATAAAATTGCGTGCCGATTACACAAAGAGAACCCAGTGTTTTGACTGCGAACATGAAAAATCAGCCGATCACAACACTCCGTCCGGAGGTCCTGACCTCCTTCACGGAGTAATGAAAGGAAAGCTGCTGAAGGCCTACCCTCTGCTTCCCTGATCTCGTCCTCTGTGGGCCAGGTCTGTTCCCCCTCCATGGGGTCAGGCACCACCTCTGCCTGGAGAGACTCCTGTCTGCTGGGGTCGGCACTGCAGAGAACCTGCACATCCTGGTCCATACTGGTGGAGTCTGTGGCATCTGTGTCCTACAGGAGGTGAAACATATAAAGGAAACACTGTAGTTAAGAGTCTACAGTGACTACTGATAATAAAGGTGTTAACGCTGCTGGAAGGATGTTTTCTGTCATATGGAACTTTAACACTTTCTTTTCAACATTTAGTCAAAGCTAATCAACCAAGAATTGAGGTGTTCAAAAAATCAATATTTTCCAAGAACTATTGTAGAGTGGAACTCGCTGCCACCTTGTACAGTTGGGGCTTTAACCAACTCCTGTACTTAGATGAGCAAAGATTGGGTGTAACAGGTCATTCTGTCAGAAGCATGCCTGTGAAGCTGGTGTGTTACACCGAAGGGCTTTTATACCAGATATACAGATACAGATAAAGAATGTCACATATACATATATAAATGTCATACTGTAATTTAGCTACCTTGATGACAAACTATAGCACTGTAGTAATGGTTTGTACAGTACTGCTACCAATAAGTTGTGTTCCTTCATAAAATCAGTATGATGTACATGAATTATTTTTCTGGTAGCTACATCTGTACAAACATCTAACTATACGAACCATGGAATCTTTTGGCTTCTTCTTATCTGTCGGTTTCTGCAGAGGGTAGGGGTCAGGGGTCAGGTCAATCTGGGTCATCTGAAAGTCCCCATAGCCTGGGAGATGGACCAGTCCATTGACAGACAGGGGGCAGCCCCTCAAGTAGCCTGTCACCTTCAGCGACCCATGTGGAGACTACAAAAGGAAAGAAATGTCCAAGGCAAACTCTCAACACTTAAATCAAATAAACATGTCGTCTTAACACATAGAACCATTTGTAGCTTTGAGTACACAAGAATTGAGTGCGCAAGAAATATTTTAGGTGCACCATATAAGATAAAATATTGTCCACAAAAACTAATTATGTTTCATTTCTAAAGAAAAGTACTATATCAATGTTTTTATTATTTCTATCACACTTTAGATGTTAAGAATATGTTGTATACATTTAACATCTTCAATGTTACATACATAAATCTATTAAAATATTTGAGAGCAGTCTGGTACACCCACAGAAAAAAATTGCTCCAAGCACCCATTTTTCTAGCCCTGCTCTTAGATACAAAATTGTCTCTATACAAGTCAATTTCAACAGATTTTAACTAGAGCTAGTAGAAGGTTTTCTTTTCTCTCTTTTTGTTCGTTCCACCGTACCTCCTCTTCTTGTTGGTACACGACATTCTGCGCCAGTAGATATGGGCGGTGGTCCCGCAGCTTCAGTCTACGCTGCTTCTGATTGGTCACGTGCCTCAGTACCAATGCTGCATCCTGACAGGACAAAGTTTCAAAAGACCAGTCAAATCTAGCTATTTCCATTTTACAAAGGCAAATTCTATGTCATTATATTACATTATAGAAGCTACGTGTTGGCATTTAAAAAATCAGTGATTTCTGTAAGGTTCTATTACAAAATAGAAAATAGAAAAATTTACAATCGTATATGAACAACATAGCCGTAAAAAAATTTGTTTCCTCAAATAACACTTGTCATTTTTCCTATTTTTATCTCTACACTTAACCGCATTTTGAAAATAATATCTATAATATCCATAATGCATTTGACTTGCTAGTTTGTCTATATATCTGAGTGTTTGTTATTTCACCTGTTGTGAGTCCAGTGTGTGGACTTTTTCCTCAGGAAATCTCCTCTCCATGGCCTTGTTAATACTTCTCTTAGCATCATTTCTCTTCTTCACAGGCAAATTATTGATGCCCTGTGTAAAAACACATACATTAACAGTGTTTCTCCACATTTACCACAAAGGTAACCTACAACTAAGTTAGTGGTTAAATCTGGGTACTATTTATCTCAGACATACATGTACAGTACTAATTACAGTTAATACAAAATGTAGTGTTCTTAGTGTCTACAAAATGTACTTGTTAGTGTCCCTACAAAATGTACAAAATGTTCTTGGTGTCCAAAATACAATACATGTATTATGTAACAGATACCATGCAAAATCTTCAAAAATTCTGGTCATCAAGTGTAATGTTTAGTATCTTGATAAGATAAATCATTCAACAAAACATAATGTACTGTTGACAGGTATTGAGTCCAATGAACATTGCCCTCTGTCCAATGAACCAATACTATAAGTCTGTATTTAGTAGCCCACCCAAAAAACTGTCATATTACTACTTGTAAGGCTGTTCACCAGTTAAATGATACCAGGAAGTGTTAGTGAATAAGACACTTCCTAACAAACAATCAAACCAACATACCCGTGTGACTAGTACAGGTGTGGGCAGTCCCTGTGCAAACAGACAGGTGAGACAGTACTCCCCTAACTCATCAGCCGCTCGCGTGGGAGACAGGAGTAACAACAGGGTGTCTGCTGTCTAGAGGGGGGAACAAATCACAGACACAGGTTAGGCAATCTAACTTACACAATACACTAACAAAGTAGGACTTGCATGAAGAGTTGAAGACACTTGTATTTTCATTGTTAATGTTTCAATGATTGTATAACGTTTCATTACTAGATGTCAGATCAAGGAGCTAGAAAAATTTATATCCCTTGCAGGGGTACACAAAAAAGGCTAGGGTAAGCACTTTCTCTAGTCTGTCAGGAAACAGGCCTTAGTCTCTGACAGTCTTCAAGAAGAAGAAAGACAACAAGTTTCTTTTTTATCTGACAGAAAAGTATTACCTCAAAATAACCTTACATGCATGTAACTCTCACTTTTTCCTTGTGAAAGCGTACTTGTTTTTATTCTAAGCTTTTTATTGGTCATGAGATAAAGCACAAGAAGATGTTTATGACAACTGCTGTTTTTAAGTTCACCATTTTTCAACTTTTGAACTTTTGGACTGCTGTATTTCATTCTAAAAAGTCTCCACGTCATCATATTTCTAAAAATATTGCCCTCTGACTAAGCACAATAGGTTCAAGTGAAATCTTACCTTAGCAGCGTCGAGTATTGCTCCGATGTCGTTCCTTGGTGGGGTGAGGAAGGTGAACCTGTGTTTGTGTCGTGGTACAGACATGTTGACAAGCTTGTTGTCCTGTGTTGTGTACACCACGGCTGTGTCATCACACCCCAGCAGCTCTGTCAGCGCCTCTGACGAGCTCACATCCTCACACAGGGGGACAATCGCCTGGAATGAAAGGACAAAAAAATCCAAATCATTCAGTTTGCAACACTATAGCTTGCATAATAAAGTAGCTAATAAAGCCCCTATCACACATTCAGAACTTTCCCCCCACCACCAAACTACCAGGGTTGGCTGAAGTTCAGGAACAGTCTTGACCAGATTAAGGGCACACCTATCTTTCTAAACAAATCAAATCAAATTTGAGTTAAATTTGAGTCAAAGTTGACCCCCAAACATGCCGCAAACACTCCTGACCTAATCCCAAACACCAGCAAGCAAACCACGACCAGACCTCCATACCATGTTCTATATGTTTTGAACAATTGGCTGTAGCTGAACTAACATGTAAAATAGTTGAAATGAAATTGACCCCTGCATTGCTTTTCTTCAGCATACCTCATTCCATGGTGAAATACACTTACCACAGTATGAGGTGGCCCAGTGGCCCCTCCCAGGGTTCTCTTCTGCATGAATACCTCTTCCCTGCTTTTCTGACGCTTCTGCAGTGCCTGCGATGGAGAAAGGAAAGATTGGGACCAATGGGTACAAAACAAGTAATAACTACTGTAAAGCAACTGTTCTATCAATATAATCAATGATGTTCTATTGTATGTCAATGGACCTATACCATTATTACGTCACAGTTTGTTTACCTGTTCTAAAGAACATTCTAGAATGGTCAGTTAAAGAATAAAGATCATTTCAAAGTTTTCAAAGTAAGGTATGTCTGATTTTTGCTGCGTCTAGTTGTGTTGACACAGCATTACATGCCACATGGGTGATTTAGTTGTGACATTAGACGAAAGTAGTACTGTATTAAAGGCCTTATATTAGGCTAATGCTACACAAACACACACCGCGCTACGCACCCCTGTACAATATAAACGTTGATTGACCGGCATTCATTGCGGTAAACAAACTGTGACATAATAATGGTATAGGTCCATTGATGCCAGGTTCTAAAACTCACATGGTGTCTCTTGTCTGCCTTGCTCTGTTCCCGTTTCACCCTCTTTGTCCCTGTTTTTACTGGTACACGACCTGCAAATAGAGAAAACAGAGGATAAGGCCATTGCACTGCATGGATATAATCATCAGCTGAATCCAGCTTATAGCCTGCCATAAATTATGTGTTTGCAAATGAACAGTGAACAGTGTAGGTTTACAATGTCCAAAACTGGAAGTAAGGAGCTGTTGATGCAAATTTACTGAGGAGGATCTGCAAAACACTAAAGGGATCATCAATAAAATTTAAAAAATTATTACTAGCATCAAAGAGATTTCCCTTAGTAGAACCATGGAGGTAGAACTTCTACCTCCATGGTAGAACATTATATTAACCACCTCCTTGCTAAAAAAAAATTCTGTAATCAAATTATTTATCTGCCCCACCCTCAACAAATTTCTTCAGACTCAACCACATAGGAAACCTTTTTTTTCCTTCGGATGTGAACTCTTCGAAGTATACTCTACTCTATAACGTTTTCCCGAGAATTTCACTTGGATAACAAATTAACAACGTGCCTCAATATCATAAATTGACTTATATATTGCATAGCTATATGCCCCCCTCCCCACATCCACGTGCCTGCACTTGCAGCTACGCCACTTTACTGCCTTGCGTTTTGCTAAACTGTGGAAACATCGGAAAATTCGGTGTTTCAAAGATGATATTACCTTTATACTCCTTGTCTATCTGCCCCTTGGTGCGGTGACGCCCGGTTTTGTGGGATTTGTTGTCCTGCTTCAGCGGACCGGGGCGATGTCTGTGTTCCATAGGTGCCATGATGGATTGCTCAATATTAGCGATTGAGCATCAGCGCCCTCTAGCAGTTTAACTGATTATTGCTGGCTGAGGGTTAGGCGGAAACCCGAGCCGGGCATACAGGGGCGGCAGCTGGGATCTCGTCTGCCGCGAGCAATGTACGTAATATCCACACCTATAAACCTGGTATCCAGTCTATCGTGGTTGGGGCGGGTTTTCTTCGGGGCTGCAGGAGCTCTTTCCCGCCCGACTCAGCTAGGTTCCCGGGTAGGTTTTCGATTAGCCCTACTGCGATGGGGCCGGGTGGGGCGAATCAACTCCCGGCGTGCCAAACTCATCAGCAAAGCTCCTAGGCTACAGGCTTAAACACTCCTACCGAGCGGTCTGTTGTACTGGGAAAAAACGGGAAAAACTATTAGAGCCCCGGAGACAGCTTGCCCCAACCACGATAGACTGGATACCAGGCTAATTCACACCGGTACCCCTAAAATCAGAGATTGTTCCAGATTGCTACTGCCGTACTGGGAAGGCACAGCCACCTTCTGTGATCCGGGTGGCTGCGACTTTGGCAGGTTTGTGCGGAGTAACAGATGTGGAGACGGCGTCTGTTGCTGGACGGGACACAAGATATACTGCTGTACTGGCGGTAAGGCATTGTTACTTTCGGGACAGAAGTATTGTTTAAAATAGCTGGTTCATGAGACTCTGAATTTGGGGGGGGGGGCTGTGTGTGTTGTGCTTGAAATATTGAATACAGGTTTTAAAAAGTAGACATTTTTTGGTCTAACGTCTAATAGACCGAGCCCGACTGTCCATTAATGGATCAGCCAATGGTAGCAAGGCAAGTGCTATCCTGGGTGCCATCCTCCGTAGTTTTCACTAATGTCCCTGGCTACAATTCACACACAACACACCTGTCTTTGGTGCTGATCACCATCCACACACAACACACCAGTCCTTGGTGCTGAACACCATCCACACACAACACACCTGTCCTTGGTGCTGAACACCATCCACACACAACACACCTGTCCTTGGTGCTGAACACCATCCACACACAACACGCCTGTCCTTGGTGCTGAACACCATCCACACACAACACGCCTGTCCTTGGTGCTGAACACCATACACACACACAACATGCCTGTCCTTGGTGCTGAACACCATACACACACAACACGCCTGTCCTTGGTGCTGAAAACCATCCAACATCATTCGAGTCACAATACAAGAAATACAATGCAGACTTTTGGCTCCTTCAGAAAAAACATGTATTGTACTTTACATGTTTACAACAGGCAGGTCTGAAATTGTGTTACAAAATAGCATCTCTGTTTAAAATTCTGCATTTACTGGCACACTTGTGAAGTAAAAAGCATGATAAAATACTTGTCTGGTTAAAATCCATGTATGTTTTGTAGATACATTTCTGGTAGGTAGAGGTATGTGGAACTGTAATGTACACATTCAGATGACACATGCAATGTGATGTCACATTGATTTTCGTCTTCATTTCATACAAATAGATAGATTTGTATGATAGATTATTTATATGACGTGTGTGGTATAGAACAAACATTGTAAAGTATTCCACACAATATAGCTACATGTAATTCACAGGCTGCTGATGTAGCTTAAGCTTTATCAGTATAGCACAGTGCTGAGTCTGTAGCCTCTCTTGATCCTGTGGGTTAGCAGTGCCAACAGGAAACAAGGCTCGAATGTAACAGGGTCGTCTCGGACAGTGTCCTCTCCCTCACTGGTTGCAGGAGACGTGTTGACCTGCATGCTCATGGCAGAGTGGCTCACGTTTAGGCCCGATACAGTGGCCATGTCGTTTGTTGATGACATGTCAAACATGTTGATGAGCTGTGTCTTCTGTTGTACAGCCTGTGAATCTTTTGAATTCTCCAGCACACTTTCCAGTCCTCGGGACTCATCTCCTCTTACCAAGGCTGGTGGTGCACACCAAAACTTATGTGGTGCTTTCTTCTCAATCAGGACTTCCAGTCCACGAGGTTCATCAGCTGCTGTAAAGTCCAGGAGGTTCATACTCGGCTCTCCAAACTCTTGGTACTTGGAAGGCTTCTCTGGTTTCCACCAGGAGGATGGTGCTCCAGGACTCTGTGGCTTCATGTCTCCGCTACCGACTTCAGACTTAGTTGGCAGATCCTTCAATGATGCCCTGGATATAATGGAATCCCTCTGCCTCGGGTCAAAAGGCTTTAGCCAGTCATCAAGAGCGTGTGTTGAACAGGCCTGTGCCGGGAAGGACGTTGACTTGCGGGCAGGATAAGGACTCGCACAGTGGAAATCACCTAGTCCAGAGTCCATGGCATCCATAGCAGCTTCGAACGCATCAGCCCAAGAGTCAAGGTCGTAATAGATTTCTCCTGAAGCACAACCATCATTGGGTACAAAGTGGACCTGGAGCGGCACTGGGTCCATAGTACAGTTCGGAGGAAGTCGGTGGGCCACAAGACTTCGGGGGAAATTGTGCACAACGAAGAACTCTGGGATGCGTAGCGGCTGTTGTGCAATATTTACTGTTGTTTCTATGCTTGCATCACCTGCAGACAGGCTAGTATTCTGTTGACTTGCAAGTCCCTTTCCGAACGTTTCTTCTTCCTTTTCGCTTTCATTTGTAGGAGACCCTGGAATGCAGTGTGGGATATCTGCCTTCCTGTTTGCCTCCTCGTGCTCTTCAGCATCTAGCAGTGGCACGCCGTTTATCAGAATCTGGGGAACTTCAGCCGCCTTCTGGTCTGCCTGCTCGTGCTCTTCAGCATCTAGCAGTGGCACGCCGTTTATCAGAATCTGTGGCACTTCAGCCGCCTTCTGGACTGCCTCCTCGTGCTCTTCAGCATCTAGCAGTGGCACGCCGTTCAGTAGAATCTGGGGCACTTCAGCCGCCTTCTGGACTGCCTCTTTATGATTTTTGGTGTCAGGGGTCTCTTTGAGCACTTCTCCCTAAAGACGCAATTACAGCCAAACTTACAATATGGAAACATGAGTGATGGACATTAAGCATTAGCTTTCGTTTTTAATTGTAATTGATTGTATTGCAATACTACTAGCATCATTCATGCTTTGAATAGCAAAAACACGCAAATCTAGTGGCTTTTAAGCAATGATTGTAGTCCAATAAACGTGTACAGCGTGTAAACTTTTGACTTACTTGTGGCTCAATCTGCTCAGTTAGGTCCTGTAATGATAAAAAAAAGATATTTTAACTATACAGCTCTGCATGTGCATATACAAGAATGGTGTTTCTAAATTCATGACACGTTGAAAGCACTGTTGCTGGTAAAATAGTATAAAGACTTATCGTCACTTTTCTTTTTTTAGTTACTTGTTAGTGCAAATAATATTTTGTTATGGCACGTTTTAAAGTCAAAAAGGCAACCAAAACATTTCTGCAAAGCTCACCTGCTTTAGCTGCTTCACAAACCCTTTGTTAGCCTCCACCTTCATTGGAATAAAGAATTTTCAATATTGAGTCAATACGTTGAGATGGAAAAGTTTCCTGACAATGTTCACTGACTGACACCATGCATGGAAGATATTTCGTTAACCAGGATACAATACAGCAATAGCTATAATGGAATATCATATGATTGGAAGTGAAGAAAATAGAAAAAAAAATCAGTTTTCCGATCCTTACCTGCTTCCGCAGCTTTCTGACCATTTCCTGCTGATGAGCCATTCTCTCATCATTACTTTTTCTGATCTATTGAATAAAGAGATAAGCAACTTTTTATTATCCTCCGGGTATTATGAAACTATTATGATGCAACCTTGAACATCATGTGCATTTAACCATTGGCCAACTTATTGAGACATTTCTTCTTCTTCTTCTTCTTCTTCCTCTAACAACCCCGTAAGGGGTATCGCTGAGGGGGGGGAGGTGCGTGGACCTTACAGTAGAGAGGCCCGAAAGGCCTCCACAGATTGTGCCTGTACGGCCTGGGCAGGTAAACTGTTCCACTCTCGTATCGAGCGTGGGAAAAATGAGAATTTGAAACAGTCTTTCGTTGCAGGAATAATATTGTATTTAAAGGCGTGGCTACCTCTGGTGCGCCGCTGTGCAGGAATAAGATATTGTTCAGAGGGTATGTGCATGTGACCGTGAGTTATTTTGAACATTGTAGTCAGACGTGCCTCTCTTCTTCTGTTTGCAAGAGTGGGCCATTGGAGTTTTTGCAACATTTCGGTCACACTACTGGTGCGGGCGTAGTCATTCATGACCATCCGGGCTGCCCTGCGTTTCTGTATATAAACATTGCACTGAGAAAATTCTTAAGTTCCTATCCATCTTACTTTAAGCTCTTACCATCATTGCTTTACAAAGCCTATTTCAAACTTTTTTTCAAGTCACTTACCTTCTGTATTTCCTGAAGGATAGGCCTTGGGTCGATCAGGACATTTTTGGCTTGCAGAGTTTGAGACAGCATGTTTGGTCTGGCTTCATCAAATCTAAATGATGAAGATAACAAAATGTTTAATATATAGACCACCATGATAATAGATTAATAAAAAACTTATTATTTATCAATAAGCAGTAAGAGGACAGAAATTAATGCCATGGATAAGATTGTGGGGAAAGATATATATAACAAACTTCTAAAGTAAAAAAAATGTACCCTTTCTTTTCAGCTTCCAGTTCAGCCACACGAGCCGTCAGGGATTCAATTTCCTGATCTTTCTGGGAAATTCTGTTGTGGGGCACAGAATAGACTTGTCATGAAATTTGTTTCTATTGCAAAAGTGTGAACTTCTTAGCATTGCTAGTATTTTAAATGAATATCAATATCTCCCTATCCTTTCCAACAAAGAGGTCTATATATAGATGAAACTCCTCAGTCAGTAAACAAGACAAAGTAAACCGTGGAGTGAGTGAGTGAGTGAGTGAGTGAGTGATTGATTAATAATAGAGTGAGAGAGTGAATGAATGAGTGAGTGAGTGAATGAGTGATTGAATAAGAGTTAGAGTGAGAATAGTGAGTGAATGAGTGAGTGAATGAGTGATTGTGTTAGAGTTAGAGTGAGAATAGAGTGAGTGAGTGAGTGAGTGAGTGAGTGAGTGAGTGAGTGAGTGAGTGAGTGAGTAAGAGTTAGAGTGACTGAGTGACCATCTCACCTGTGCCGTGTGTTTGTCGCCTGATCTACCAGACGTCCCTCCAGCTCTCTGATCTTAGCTGCAGCCTCAGTACTCTCCCTGTCAGTGTAAAGAAGTGCAGTTGAGTGGGTCATTTGAACATGACATTTAAGAACAGATTAAGTCAATCCTGTAACATCATATTCTATTAGGGATGATTAGCTGATGCATGGATAGAATAAGACCATTTCCTTTGTTGTTTTAAAATAAATTATGGTCAAATATAAACTTTTATCATACATATTATTTTGTTGTTTACTAACTCAACTCCCAATAAATTATACCTAACTTTTGTCTACCAGATCGTACTCAGCCATAAGCACAGGATATTATTCAGAAATGTTTGGAGGGTATTTTCAGTTTTACAGAATGCTGATTTCTTGTGCATGCAACTAGGTACATTATATATATTTTGAAGTAGTAATAATGATGTTAAAGGTTAGAAATAAAGATTACTCACTGTGTCTTTTCTGATTGTAGATCAGCCATACGAGCCTTCAGCTCACTCAATTCCCGATCTTTCAGGGAAACCCTGTTGTGGTGCACAGCATGGAAAACATTGAACTGTTACAAAATAGCAAGTAATTTTTCTTCTGGTGTGTGAGTGAATGATTGATTTATTGAAGCTAGTGGTAAGGTGGTCTTGTGGTTTAAGGCCCACTTTACACCTCATTTCCTCAGTCTACTAGGGTCAGAATTCTTAGTGTTACTTTCTTCTAGGGATGAGTCAGGTGTGTGTGTGTCTTTGTCTGTGTGTGTGTGTGTGCGTGTGTGTCTGTGTGAGTGTGACTTAGAGACGTCCTCTCATATCAGACATTTAAAGAAAGCCACACCTTGAGCACGTTGTAGATTCCACCTCACGTATCAAAAAGCCTAGAGGCCCATTCAGATCATGGCGAGTGGATCAAGCCTTGCATCCATATGAAACTTGTGTTTACTGTAACTACAGTACTTAACTGTTGTTTTATGCATAAAGAAAGTGCACAAAAACTCACCTGTTCTGAAGGGATTTTTCCAGGTGCTGGATTATTCTGAGGGAAAACCATTAGAGATTTGATTTAAGCATCTTCGAACAGCTTTTTAGGAAATCTGAGAACAGCTTCATTATATAGTGTGAGTTCAAGTTCCTGATTTAGCAGATATGATTTCAATTGCAAGAAAAAAATATTTTTTTGTAAACTTACGTGTTGTTTGCCTCCAGCCATTTCACGAATTCGCTAGAGTAGAAACAATCCATAAAATGTTACAGATATGTCAACAAATCTATCATTGTTAATATAGTAATTATATTGCATAGGCATATAGATGAGAGATTTAGAAAAGGCAAACTTTATTTACCCTCTTTTAAGTCCTGTTAGAATCTATTTCTTATTCCACATGTAAAATCATATAAAACCTCACATTTACTACATCAAAAAAGGTTTTCTCTAGAAATGGACATTTTATATATATTGAGAGATCTCATCAGCACCAAGGACAGGACATAGGTCAATAGAAGTTGAAAATAAATGATTGTTCTTACCTTAGAATCACATCCTCCTGTTTGTGATTTTCAGTTGTTTGTTCTTGTAGCCTCCTGTGTGTAGAAATAAAGCACAATGTAAGAAACTGGAGAATCATGAGGTACTAGTATGCCTCAATACTTTTTTATTATTACAGTATACCTCAATACTCAATACTTACAACAGTATATCAGAAGGGAGAAGAGAATGTATTATATGTATGTTTTATGCATTTTAGGAGATTGAGAATTTCCAAATGACAGTTTATGACCACAGCCACCTAGAATACCTTTAATCTAAGATAATACTTATAAAGTAATATGTCATATATTACCTGATCATAAGGGAGGTGTAGTGATGTTTCTGTTGAAACAAGCTGGAACAAGGAAGAGACATGTATTTATCCAATGAACAGCATTCCAGTAGAGTCACAGGTTGCATCATTGTCTATTGTGTATACGTACTAGGCTAAATAAAGTTTCTTGATTCTAAGTATTTCTTTATTTGTTTTCAACAACAGATAGTAGCTGACAATATTGTGGTAGTTGTCAGACTAAATATTTGTATGAAGTAGAATACATTGTGAATCCATCTCTATGTGTCCCCTGTATTTTCCATTATAGAGTTGTTCCTTACCTCTGGAGGCCTTGTAGGTTTTCCAGAAGGACCACTGTGCGCTCTTTGAGGCTGTTAAAGAAAAAGATTAACATTATTAAGTAATAATATAAATGTACTACTTTTAAATGTCAAAATCTCTTTGATTCTTGCAAGGGCAATGATTACAAATATTTCGTAGTGACACTTGTAGTTTTTCTTAGTACATTCATTTTCTAAAATATCCATTTTTTCTTATACCCCTCCCCAAAAAAGGTACTGGACATATGAACTATATAAAGTAGACATAAATGCACAGCAATACATTTGTTTCAATACACTGTAATATTTCTAATCTCTGACTATTTCTGACTTCAGTGGTAGCTAAAGCTGACTAAAACTGAGTTCTTACTCTTGTAACGCAGGTTCTGTGCTGCCTGTGTCAGTTGGCTGAATAAGAAAGGGAACGCACTACAATAAGAACATACAAACAAAGCATAGAAAAAAAAGGAACAATTCAAATCATACTCATACTGCTTTCAATTAAACTGACCCGATGGCAACATTGTTACAAATTATTACATGCACATTTACGATAAAAAAAATTCAAATAAATTGAAGGTTATAAAAAGTTAACGTAAGTTTTGTATATTTTTTGTTCTAAAGAAACAATCTTGTGGCATTGAGATAGCAAGTTAGCAGCCTATCTAATGAAACATCCACAGAAGCTACGCAACGTGAAAAATAACAAATGATGAACTATAAACTACAACGTAAGTTTTATGACAAATGAAAACAACACGAGCGGTACACCGGCGGTCGAAAAACTCCCCAAAAATGAAAAAGGAAACTTACATTGGCCATGGCCCCAACATCCACGCTGTCTTCAGAAGATCCTTTGTTCTTCAATTTTCGGATCATCCTCTTAAACATCGACTCCTTCTCAACGCTAACGCTGTCCTCAGACTGTTTTGTTGACATCGTCGTCGCCATTGTTCGACTTCTCAACATAGATGATAGAACGCCTACAAATGTCATAAAAATCTCATATAAATTCATCATGTAAAATAGTTTTCAGGATAAACAACAGGTTTATAATTCGTGAAACGTTACGAAAAAGACGTACTTGGTTACATTTCACAGCTGCCTTAGGCGTAAAATGTGTTATCAATGTTACAGATAGTACTACTGTGTGATGACCTTGGTGGCCGTAACCTTGTTCGATCCAGTTAGCGTCAAAACAGAAACTTTTTCGGACCATTTCTCACCAAAAGTCCCACTTTTTTGTCACCCTAATGTTCCTTCTATATGTGAAGAGAACTTACAAGTAACATCCGACAATTATTTGCGATTTTTCGTGAGTATTTTGCTGATTTCTCTGCCTCAGAAACGGAGAGACAAAAATCCCCACCTGCTTCGAATGCTGGCTAGTGTCATCTGTGGGAGTAAATAGAACCCGTCTCCATGGCAACGGTAGCAAACATGGCGGATCGAACGCTGGGAGGAATGAACTTGAAAAATCATAAGAAATATCCTGTTTTAAACGCGTTATTTCTAAATGCTTTGCATACGCAAGCCGTCCTCTGGTTTGTAATATTTGTTTCTTTTTTTAAGGAATTCTGCCATATAGTTGATCGCTAGGAATAACTTGAGGGAATATCGTATGTTTTATGTTAACGTTACCATATTTTGTGGTCATTCCTACGTCTGCACAGAAAAAACTTCCTCGCCTGCGCGAATACCTTCCTCGTCTGTACAGAAAAGGGTATCCATAAAAGATGGGCTAGGAGTAGGGTTAGGCTACCTAGGGTTAGGCTATACCCTTTCTGGGCCCCAAAGGGTGTGCATGGGGGTTTGATCTTTAACAAATGTATTAATTTTGACACAACCCCTCCCCTTCTATCCCCTGTGGGCTAATTACACTCACAGAAAAGCGTTGATATGAAAGTATAACGTTGTTAATACTCATTGCAATACAGTAACAGGGGACAGGTAACAACTGTCTGGAAAAAAACTTCTACTTCTACTACTACGCTAGGTATTTACGCTAGTATAAGGGCTAAGTCATTGACACTACCAAGGTACATGTAAATGACGCACACCCATTATTAGTATTAACCAAACAAGCATTCAAGAAAGAAGAGGGTTCATTCATTCATTTTGTCATCAAAAAAGAGTTTCACATCACTTCTGACCCATACTGCTGGAAATTGTGCAAATACACTGTACCATGAATGACATTTGAAAATTCAGGTAACGTTACATGTATTTTATTTCACACAACATGTATAGTTTACACACAGCACACTTCGTAACGTTTAAACACTTCGTAACCTTTAGACAGTTCGTAACATGAGCAACAGTTGACTAACATGATCTTATTACACATTTACACGATACTTCAAGTCAAGGAGAGTGCAAGCCGATGGTCCGGTCGTGGCGTCCCTGGCCGCGGTGGTCGGGCCGTGACTACCCAAGGCATTGTCAGTAGGGAGAGCCACAATCTCTTGGTTGTTTGCAAGGCGTTGAAGATGTTCCAATGATACTCAGAGGGATATTTCTGGTGGGGCCCTCACCAGCAATGTCACTCGGAATGTCATCGAAACACATTCAAGCACCTTACCAACAACGAGGATACAGTGATTATCCCTGCCAACAACGGGTGGTCGGGCCGGAGGGCGTCACCCGGCAGGTGGTCGGGCCGGGGAGAGTGCAAGCCGATGGTCGTGCCGTGGTGTCCCTGGCCGCGGTGGTCGGCGGCCATGCAGGCTGTGGCAGGAGGACGGCCTCACCTTCACCTATGAAAAGAACAAAAACCGAGAAAAGTCCATTCAAGTACATGTACAATGTATTTTATTTCACACAACATGAACAGTCAGGCAGTGATTCGTCATTCGTCAGATAAACAGTACTGGTGGAGGCATGACAAGAAGTTAATGATTTGTGATGCAAAATTTCCGTCCACTAAGGGACTGTACGATATTTACCGGGGGGGGGAGGGCTGGTGCAAAATGGTCCGGT